TACGCTACATACATATGTATGTATGTGTATTATTTTGTGCAGCAGAAAATGCATAAATAAATTAAAAAAATTTTATTTGTTACTTTCATTTTGCATTCTTAAGCACCATATTTTAATTTCATAACATTTTTCGGTGGCTTGCAATTGATTTAATTTTATAAGCGTTCGGTACCGTGGGAAAAGAAAAAAAATTGTTCAAGTGCGAAAATTAATTTTTAGTTCAATAAAAAATTTATTGAAATTAACGTAAATATTTTAAAGAAAAAGCGATTTGATTTTTTAATTAGGAGTCATAACGCATTTTTCATTAAAATTTCTGTTTTTTTCCGTTAAATTTTAATGAGTTATTTCAAGTATTTTCTTTTGAATAACGATTTTCCTACGAAATTTTTCATTAATAAAAATATTATGTAACAGTTTTGTCATATAAATTACTTGCTTGATGGCGGCCAAGCCGTTAGCAAAGCGTAGTAAAATTTGGAAGGCCAGTGTACAAGTACCGGTCAGACCAACACCCCAAATATATTCAATAGAAATTTAATTTCAATAAAAAATTAAGTTAATTTTTCTAATAGAGCTCGTCCCTCGGCAGGGAATGTTAAGGGGTTACATACGTCCAGAATTTTCAAAAAATCGATTTTTTTTTATAGGTTATTATTCTTTATAGTTTTAGGCCTATTTCTGTGAAAGTCGATTGTAAAAATTCCCCATAGATACAGAGTTATGGTAGAAAATCAGACCGCCCGACGAGAGTTTAATGCACACAGGTAGCTGTAACACACACATGACACATGAAAGTTTAAACGCGTTTTTCTCGAAACTACTTTTCCCGGCACGGTCTGCATGATAACTCATACAGTTTTTAACATTTTTTGATGCGAATTATTTTTTAAATATTCGAAAATGTTTTCTCTATAGTCTGTCGAGCCGTATTTTCGATATTTTTATTAAAAAATTTTATGAACATAATTAAAGTGTGACATTTATGACGTAAAACGCATACTTTTTTTCTAAATTCCGTAAATTGGAAAATTTTTCGAAATTAAAAAATTCGGCTCGACAGACTATAACTACAACTTCATTTTACAAGAATTTTTTTTATTTTTACAGATCCATCAACATTCCAAGGATAAATGATGCAGACCGTGGAGCAACTTTTTTTTCATTGTACTTTGGGTCACGTGATATTTTATGTACTAATTTTTGTAAAGAAAAATTAAAATACATTTTTTTTAAAACTTTAAGTACCAATAAACATTGTATAAAATTTCTTTATATTTATTTCTATTGTTATCCCTTCTGAAAACAGTTTTTGTTTTAGCGCATTTTTGGTGCTGCTGGACGTATGTAACCCCTTAACCTCTCTGAATGTATTTCGGACATGAAATAAAGACTTCTCATAAAAATCCATTAACTGTTCAGGGGTGGCTTAGAATAAGCTATGAAGATCACTCCATTTGTGAAAAAAAACATCCAGACGCTTACCACAAATTGGAGGAAATCGCTTCAGCGGTTACAACAAGCCAATTATATATGTGCATATATATAAGAGGGAACGTCTTAATGTTCGCTGAATGGGAAATACGGGATAAAAAACAAATACTTTTTTCTTTTCATTTAGTTCTAATTTAATTCAATTTTTGAATTTATTCATTTACACCCTAATATAAAGTGTTTTCTTTTTATCTTCCTGGTAGACCGAAACTACTTGACATCATTCTTATCCTCATTGCAGCGGCTCAAAAATGCACAAGAGCACTCTAAGCGCTGAGCTTAGTTATGCCTAGATCGTTGCATCGGATACTTCATTTAGATTTTAGATTTCTTCTTTAGTCGAACATCGTTGAGCACAATTTTTTTCGTCTCTTTGGAAAGGTTCTTCCATGGTAACCTTAAAGCTGCTACTCAGCCTAGGTTCATCTACAAGAGATTCCCTCGATTCTTTCAATAAACTCTGCCACTTGTATATCATTGTTTTTCCCGAACAAGAGGCACCGTAAACCCAAGTCAATTCATTCATAATAGTCATAACCGATTTTCCATGCTTGGTAAGGAACTTTACAAGGGCACGATATTGCGATGTTGCATTACGATCCTAATGAGCCTAATCACATCCCCATAGTGATCTCATTTCCTTTTGTATTGTAAAAAAGTATGTAGAGTCTTCATAAACTCACAATCTTTATAGAAAAACTTAATCGAAAATGTCTCAAATACAGAAAATTAATTGGACGACACAATAGCGACAGAAGCAAGAATTGTGTCTAAAGCTATTTTCTCCTCTTCGTTCGCACACAGCTTTTGCTATTCTTCTTTGTGATCCATTGAAAGACCGCTAAAATAACAATAGAATGGTGTTAATATTTTTATTCTTTTTCCAAATGAATTATAATAATATTAGAAAATAAAAATTCATTAAAAATTACTATTTTAATAGTTTGATAAACATTTTTCGCTACGCTTTATAATTTATAATAGCTGGATAGAACATGCTGAAGGCAAGGTGTGGAACCTTAATCAGGTGAGCCACATTAAAAGAGAAATACGGCATTGCTGTAGGCGAAGAGAACAATTGACACACAAAAACTAAAAGCAGCACAAACAACAGGCCACCTAAATGTTCTAGAAAATTGGGTCGAGTCTACCCATTGTGATGGATGGAAGGCTGGACGGCTGGAAAAATATAATATTTTATTCAGACAGTAATTAAGTCATAAAGATGCACAATATTTGACAAAGAATTTTTGAAAAAGAAAATATTCATAGTCCTGCCGTTGCGACGTTGGAAAAAAGAAGCTTGCGTCAGCGTCAACAGAACTCATGAAGATCAGCCGAAGTGAAAAAGAATCAAATCGTGTTTAGTTAATACGAGAAACTTGAATTTGGTCGAAAAAGTAAAAATTGGATTTTTCGCAGATTTTTTTTCCCCAAAAAAAAAAACTTAACAATTTGTTTTATTTACTTAGTTGTGATTGCAAAAAAAAAAAAAAAATAAAAAAAAAAATAAAAAAACTTTAGTCCACAGTCCACTCCAATTTCTCGTGAATGATATCTCGAAGACATGGTTAAAATTTCATCAAGATTGGTTGAGAAAATCACATTTAAAGCACTGAGCCTACCTGACTTTGAGTGCGCACCTTTCAAAGGCTATGCTGTATTTCCGAAACTTGTATTCGGAACGACACAAAAATTTAGATTAATATTTTTGGAATGTTGCTGCATGGGTTTCAAGGCTTAAAAAAAAAGATTTTTTATTTGTATCTTAATTTATACAGCATCTTGAGAATATTACTACGTTTATGCTTCATTTCTACTTGGATAGATTAAACTCGCAATGAAAAACACTTTTTCACCACGAGTTAAGGCGTCTCCTCGGGTAGATTATAGACATTTACTGTACATATGTAGAGGTGTTAACTCGGTAGCATAAAGGCGGGTTGAGTTGAAAACAGCTGATTTGCTTTCAACTTGATTGATGCAGAGTTTCCGTGCTGCTAATATTTTGCTTATCTATAATTTTACCAAAAGTTGGGCTTGGCAGACCTGTTATTAGCTCCATTCTGAATTCCACTCTAGTAGATCAATTAGCATTTATGCTTGTTGGTTTAACCCGAGTAGAATAAGCCCACGTAGAAATGAAGCATAAACGTAGTGTATAATTCTGAATTTTTAACTTTGCTTCCATTAAAAATATATTCAACTCATTGTGTAGTATTTTTTTTTGTTATAAATAATTTTTCTAGATCGTTGTTTCAAAATCAACGCTCTTTAAGTTTGACCGGTCCCTCCTAATATTTATTATAAGTTTCTAATTTGTTTAATTTCACCTATTTCAGGTAATTCCATAAATATTGTTGTATTTTACTTATCCCAAAGTATTTTAAAGAAAATATTTTATTTTGCTTTGCAGCTTTAGGAGCTCAGAACAGAAGTAAAAATTAAATATTAAATGCTTTCGTCACGATCTTCGAACTTCAAAAAAGTGTCATTTTAATTCAAAAATTATTTTATACTTAAATTATTAAAAAAAAAATATGTATATATTTATAAAATATAAAATTACAAAAAAAAAAAACAAGAAATTAAAAAATAAAATAAAAAAAGGAAATAAAAAATAAAACGAAGCCGCTTTGAATAACGCCACACAATGGTAAATATGTAAGTAAGCACATGAAACCATAAACTATCACCAGCCAAAACCGTAACACAAAATATTTTAATTGTTATTCAAAAAAAAAAAAAAAAAAAATTAAAGAAAAAGCAAACCAACAAACAACATTAAAACCAAATGCAATGAAAGTCATAAGCCACAGCGTACGAGGCACACATCTTCACCACATCTCTTTGTGGTTGCCTGCTGCTGGCTACATTTTCAAACTGGAGGGCCGCGCTACTGCCTGCCGCTGAGTTGTTAATGTCTTCATTATGCTAAGTGTGAAAATTGAAATTAAAATGAAAATAAAAGCGCACTCTTCAAACACAAACACAAGCGTCAACGCATGCAAATGTGTGTTCGTAACACTTGACTGAGATAACGGTAACAAGCCAAATGAACACAGCACGACCTACGTCAATGCCAAATGAAGGCAAGTAGTAGAATAAATGACGGAGCAAATGATCATTATCACTATAGAAAACGTGCTGAGTTGGAGAGAGTAAATTTGAGAGGCAAATCATTTTAACTCTCAAAAATAAATAACTTTACTTGAAGTATTTTTCATTTCATTTCAGTTGAATGCACACAGTTTCACACTAACTAAAGCGTGGTTTAATTAAGCACGTGCGACACAAGTCGATAATGCAGTGCAACTACTCGTCGATCGCGCTTGCTCTCTAACGAATTTCAATTGAGCGCTCAACTTCACATATCTCGGAACAACTCTTCATGCCATCAAGTTTTCGAGTCAGCCAAGTTTAGCTAACACAAGCTACCGTTTTGGCCTTTTCTCTAGCGAATTCACTTTCAATTCAGTATTTTTACTTCGGTGCAAGAAGTCTGTTGTGCGCGTTTTGCGAACAGTTTGTAGATGCGCGTTGAAAGGTAAAAACGCTTGCGCGGATGTTTATTGTGGCGTTTGAAGTGGACATAACGGTATATTATTATTCGTTTTTTTTCGGTTTAGAGGAACGCGGTGTCGGTAATCCTTAGAAATCAATTGTATGAAAAATGTGTGTACTACAACAATATTCAGAGTGTTTATTTAAAAAAAAAAAAAAAATAGAAAAAAATATTTTAAATAAAAAGCTGATGTAACATAAAAGTTAAATAAAACATAAAGATCCTGCCGAGTGAAATAAAGAACCACTGCTAATCACCTTATTAGTGAAACGAAAAAAGTGTATAAACTATGTGGCTTGCGACGAAGAAGTTTTAGTCAATCATTCTTTATGAAATTTAAAACAGTGACCTACAACATTGAGTCCTTGTTGTCCCAGAATTTCTACTAAGACTCATATTTGAGATACAATTTTTTTAAACAAGCAACTCTATATCTCGACGTGCACTACACGAGTTCCTTAATGACTTAAACAGGTTTGGGTCGACGCAAGGGCGACCACAGTTCTTGGCGGTTAAACTCTAGGGTATTGTTAACTTATATTTGAATAAAAACCTTTTAACTCGTCGACCTTTCCCACTTCTTCACTGCACAACATCTATAACTAAATACAGCATGTGAAATCGTCGATCCAACTTCTGCAAGAAATGAAGCCGAACGACCATCAAGGGTGTCGTACATTTTTACAAGATAATTTCGTACAGCAATAAAGCCCACATTTTGATTGTATGCGTACATTAATAAACCAAATTGTGGCATTTTAAATGATGATAATCCACAATCCATTGTTGTAAGCCGTTACAGCCTCAAAGTCACGGTTTGCTGGCCTCTTCAGTAATCACTCCTTACCAGCTGTTGGTTTAAGTAGCAAACCTTTGTTACTAAGTGTCAATCTTTTACGTAAGATTGATTATTTTTAGCGAGGTGAGATTCCTCGATAACTCCTGACTTCATTCAAGGCGAAATTACTTATCGCGTGTCGATAATCGTAAAAAAGTATCGAAATTTGTTTGTTGTACTGTACGTTGTTGTTGCTGTAGTGGTTCACAAGCACCGCTTAGAAGCAGAAGAGACTAGTCTAAATCGAGAGCTCTAGGAAACAATATATTTTGATGGACTTGAATCAGAAGAAAAGGGATTTAAATGAATAGGTTTTAAGCGTGATGCAAAGAGGTGGTCCATGTCGTGCAAGTTCTTTTTGTATGCAGGACAATCAACGGCAGTACTACTCAGGTCACTCATGGCAGCTCGAGCTCTTCGTCTGCAATAAGTGGTGCTTAGAGTCGAAGGATCTCATCCACTGGAAGAGGCTTCATGAGGGTGTTGACGGACACTCGGTGAATGGTGTTCAAAGTCTGTCGATAAGTCGTTCTATCTAGCGGTTCTTGTATATGATGCTGAATGCAGTCGATATAGTCTAGTACTTCCTTCCTTTGACGGTAGCATTCCAGCAAATATTGCTTGGTTAACATAACATCATACTCATTAACTCGTAACATAGAAGTTACGCTGTGCAAGTGATGTTCCGGCAACTTCGGCAGGTCCTGTCACAGTCCTAAAGGCGGTTTTCTGACAAGCTTGCAAGTTTTTAATTTGTATATCGCTCCTCTCCGGCGTCCAATCGGCAGGAGCATCGTAATTTACGCCCGGCCGGCCAATTGCCTTGCACTCGTTGGTGGCTAACAACCTATTCACCGCGTGCTGACGGACAACGATTTAAGGATATTGTTGCGGCACTGTACTTTGGTGGCTATTGTAGTCGTATGCCACTAAAAAATCTGAAGCTCGAACTATTATTTCTAACATTATGGCGAATAACATTTCCTTAGTTCAAAATTTTAATAAAGAAATAGATTTAAAAAGTAGAATACTAAAAGATATTGAGTTTTTCGTTGATATGTTTTAACATATAAAAATAGGTTTGCATTCAATAAATACAACAACAAAGAAGACACGAAAAGTCACATCTTTGTGTTTCTTTGTTTTTGGTCCAAATCACTATTTCCGCTATTCGATCCGTTTAGCTTAAAACAATTCAATTAAGAAATGAAGCGAGCACGAGTTGGGCTAATAAAAGCTACTAAAAATATATAGATAAATGTGTATGTACATAGAAACATAGAATGAAATAGATTCATTCTCAGTATAAACTGTAAATGGACCAGCTGAGCATACGTTTTGTTCATTCCCTTTTGTACAACTGTAAATATGTACATACATACATAAGAATTCGATAATAAATACTGGATATTAAATTAAATTTCACTTTCACGACGACAACATTTATTATAATAGCCAAGCTTACACATGCTTACAATAGTGATGTTGAAATCTATATATGAAAAAGAAGATTAAAAAAAAAAAAAAAAAAAAAAAATTAACATAACAAAATAATAAAAATTAACAAAAAAAATAAAAAAAAAATTAACAAAAAAAATCAAAGCACAAAAGAAGACATAATAACGATAATAATGAAGAAATAAAGCAGAGAATTTTTAGTGAAGTAGAATAAATATTTGCAATAAATACATATGTACATTTAAAGATTATAAAGGGTTTCCCAATAGGCGGTGTTATTTTTTTACTCAAAGAGAAATGTTATGTTTTGAGATAAACGATCGGATGTTGTCAATGTGAAGAGAAAGATATGCCATCAATAAGGGAAAACCACTTCAGCCAAATGGACGTCACGGCTAGCCGTTTGCTGTATGCTCCCAATAGCTTCACGAATTCCATCTTTGAATTCTTGAATCTTTCACGTGACCCTAAAGGAAGAGTCGAAAAATCTTAAATCCCAAAATTTCGATGGTCATCTCTGCGAGATAAAACGTTCCGGTAACTTTTCGCTTAAAAGTTCGGTGGTTTCGTTGTTTGTATGGCACATCTTGCGGTTTCTTGTTGAAAGTAAATATTGTCCGGATCAATACCAACCAATTCCGGCCATAAAAAATCATTAATCATCTCTCCATAGCTAAATCCTTTCAATGTAACGTAACTGCTTCAGCCTCATAAACTGTTCCAAATAGTTACACGTTGTGGATGGAGAGGTTTTACCACAACAAAATTTGGGTTTTCCGAGTCCCAGATGTGACTGTTTTGCTTTTTGACGTAGCCATCGAGGGTGGGAATAAGCATCATCAGTCAATATTATTTTTCGATCCTTCCTAATCTTTTTCATGCATTTCAAGGATCCAATCAGCAAAAATACGAGATGGTTAATGATCCGCCGTCCTGAGTGCTTGTGTAAACTGAATTTCATAACCCTTAAGACCCATGTCTATGTGCAATTGCATTGCATTGACGTTTGTGGCATGCCCAATTCCAAAGAACGACGAAAAATGGCCAAACCTGGGGTTTCCTCAACACTTTGGGCTACAGCTGAGACATGCACGTGTTTTATGCTTTAACATCACGAACTTGTTCCAACAGCTTAATTTCTACCAGCGATTTCTGTATTGCCGTCCGACAAGGTGCTTCACGACGAGCGAGAAATATTTTAGTTTAACGAACTGATTTTCCAGATTATCAAGATTTTTATAGTGAATTTTAATAATTTCGAAGCAATACTGAAGCGTTTTTCGTTTTCAAATATCAGGCTATTCAAAATAACAACTCTTACTGGAAAACCCTTTAATTGAACGAGTAGCGTTGCGCTTATTTCTCTTTAGTGATCGTTTTCTAGTTTATAAATATTTATTAACTAAGCAAAAAGAGAAACGAACAAGAATTGAGATTTTGGCTTAGGAATAAAACTAAAGTGAGTCAATTAGGGCTTTCAAAATTTTTTTTTCACTAAATATTTTTTTAACGTTATTTGCATACTTTCATTAAACAAAAAAAAAAAAAATAAAAAATGAAAAAAAAATGCCTTAAGACATTTGAAAAAAAGGCATCGAAAAATATTAAAAAAAAACATCTAATATATGCGACCTTAATTAATTTGTTTTTGTGTTAAAATTTCTTTTTTATGCCAAAAACTTTATCTAAAAATAGTTAATCTCTATTTTTTTCTTAGCAAATTCTAGTACATAAAAGCAAAAATTACCGTAAAACAGCGAATGTCAACACCAGCAGCAATTTTAAAAACGAGAAAAAGTAGTGCAACAACTCGTGGTGTTTTGATGACCAAATTTAGCGTAAATAATTGTGTTGATTTGCAATGTGATAAAAAAAAAAGATTAATCTTGAAATTGAGTGCAACAAAAATACAAATAAAGTAAGCGGAAAGTTGTAAGGAAAAAATATTAACGACACGAAAACTTTAAAAGCAAAACGTAAATCTACCGAAAAACCACAGAATCCATAAAAACTGATATTAACGGTAACAAAAAAAAAATTATAATAAAAAAAAAACACAACAACACAGCAAAGCAACGCTGTAAAAGGCGACATAAAGCAGAATTGGAGCTACACAATCTCCACCACAAACAAGATGGATGCGGCCAATTGGTTGCGGTTTGGCCTGTTGCTGGCGCTTGGTAAGTAAAAAAAAAACGAACAACGAACAAAAGATACAAACAAGTTAACAAAGGCAACCGTTATTAGGTATAAGTACTAACAGTTGTTTACAAGCTTCTTTTCGCTACACTTCACAATGAAGTGTTTTGATTTTTTTTATTCACTTTTTACCGCTGCATCGCACAACTATTGTAGTTTTTTTTAAATTCATAAACATTTAAAGTGTCGAGACCAACGAAGGAAAAAAATCAAGAAACGCAGTTTCCCTAGCGTAGGCATAGATAAGACGGGGTAAATAATAAAAAAAAAATCAAAACAAAAGTTAAGTGAATCAATGAAAACCAACAACCCACAAAAGAGGCTCTTCAAACACAAAATTGACTTTAATCGCTCAATTAGTAACGCTTTTGCTGGCCAAGGCTGCGACGTGAACTCTTGCGAATTAAAAAGCAAAAAAGTTGTAATGAACAAACGAGCAGCAGAAATAATTGCTGGGTAGGTAACCGTAGTGGAGCAAGGTCATCATGCTGGCAGAGAAAGATAGATAAGATGATTTTGATAATAATACACACACACAGGCTTATAACTTAACGCAACAAATATTAATATTTTGGGTTGTTCTTTAAATTTTGATATCAGATTGTTTTCCTTACTTTCTGGTATGACCTTGAGTATTTTACACTTATTTCAAAAAAAATTCTCTCTTTTGCATGAATTATTATAGAAATTTGTGTACACAAAAATTTAGTATTCAATTTGTATTATTAAGTCACATTCGTGAATGCAACGGGCAATCATGTGGATTTTACGTGGGCAGATTAAAAGAAATTCGTATTACAAATATGTATTCATCGATTAACCTTTTTTTTGCTTTAATGCATTGTTAGGTTTTCAAAACTTTTTTGCGCATTTGTCAAATTTTGTAAAAGCAAACATGTGGAAGTTAAAAAAAAAAAACAAATGTAAAACCAGTTAAAATATTATGCATCGATTAACTATTATTTTTCGTTTCTATCCTTAATTAGAAAAATTCTAAGTTTTGAATTTTAAGCTTTTAGACTTGGTATTTAATATTAATGTAATTTTTCTTTTATTAATTCATACAATTTTTTTTATTAATTTATTCTAATCTTTTTTTTATTAATTTTTTGTAAATTTTATATTAATAATTTAGAAATTTTCATCGTTTTGTATTTCTACTTACATAGTATTGATTTATATATTTTTAATTTTTTATTTCTTTCTTACTTTATCTACGATTTTTGAATGTTTTAAATAAGTTAGTTTATTAAATTTTGTATAATTTGATTTTTTATTTTAAATTTCCTCATGTCCTTGGTTTTATTTTTAGTCTTATTTTTTTTATCTCTATACTTTTATACTTTTATATTTGCATAAATTTTTATCTGTTTTAATATTTCTTTATATTTTTTTTAATTTTCCTTTTGCGTTTCTTATTTTTATTTTTTATTTTTTATTTTTAATATTTTATATTTTTAAACTCATTTTGTTTTCAATTATATTTTTATTTCTTCATTTATGTCTTGATTACATTATGAATATTTTTATTTATTATTTGAATTTTTTGATTAAAGTTTTAATACTATTTTTATTTGTTTGAAATTCTGTAAGTTTTATTTTTCACACTCTTTTATTTTCTTGTTTCTATTTTTTTTATTATTTTGAATTTTTATTTTTTATTATATTTTATAATATTCCTTTTCATTATTTTATTATTTTTCTTTTTTATTGCTTTTTTATTTTAGTTATTCTTTTATTTTTTAGTCTCTTTTATTATTTTCTATTTTTATTTTTTATTTTTTACTATACTCTATTTTTATTTGAGAATGAACTCGATTCTTATTTTTTTTTCTTATTCTATTTCTATTTTCATTTCTTATTTTTATTTCTTTTGCTTTTCGATTTATGTATGCAATATTAAATATATGAATATATAAACTTTACATTTTATAATTATAGTTTTTTTTTTATTTCATCTTTTCAGCTGTTTACTTTAATTTTTTTCTTTTCGAAATTAGATATAATTTTTTTTTTATTATATTTCCTTTATTCTACAATTTTTTCATTACATTTCAACTTTTTCATTTAACTAGGTTTTTTTATTTCACATTATTTTTAATTTCGTTTTTTTATTTCTTTTTTATATTATTTTTTTCTTATTGTTATTTTTTGATCTCTTTACTTTTAAATTTTTTTTATTTTATACAGATATGGTTTTGTTTTAAACTTTTTATATCCATAAATAATTTTTTTTTCATATTTTGTTATTATTTTTATTATTTAAATAATATTTTTAATGTCTTTTTCTGTTTTATTTTTAATTCTTTCTTTTTCTCATCGATATGATATATTTATTATCTTATTATTTGTTAAAATTTAGATGTACATACATATGTATTTAAGTATTTAACACTTTTCCGTTACATTACTTTTCATTTTCGGTTTAATATTTTTCAAGCCTCAGATTTTTTAATATATTTTTTTCTTAGTTTTTATATTTCCCATTTTTTGTATTTCAATTCTAATTTATTTTATTCTAACATTTCTTTTTACGTTCTTAGAAATCTTTTAATTCAGTAATATCTTAAATGTTTATATGAATTTCTTATTACTTATTTTTAATTTTTTTCCTTATTTTTATTTAATTTTTTTTCTTTATTTTTAGATAAATTCTTTTCCTATTTTTATTTTTTATGTTTGTTATTGTTTCTTTTGCTTTTTTATTTTTATTTTATTTATTTTCTAATTAGTATATATTTTCTTCAATATTTTTAAAATTTTTGCTTTAATTTGTTCCAACTTTGCGTATATATATATATATCTTCACATTGCGAGTGGCTGACGCAGTAACAGCAAGGTTACGTATACGCAATGTGTAACCAACGCATTAATAAGTTCTTGAGCAAATTATGTAATATTTGAAAGTCTGCGGGGAATTTAAATGAATTTATACAATTATAAAAATAGGCGATAACCCGACCGCATCATATTCATACATATTTATTTTATGAGTACATAAAAATGTATGTACGAAAAAAAAACGTTTTAAATTAAATGAGTTTTATATGTTTATAATCAAATTGCTAGTTAACAAATGTTGTTGCCAACACTCGTTATAAAAGTCATCTACCGGCACCAACATTCAACACTTTCGTTTTCTTTTTAAGTTGCTATACATACACACTTTTGTATGTATATGTTTGTATGTAAGCTTTAAGCCACATACCTGTGTGCAGTGAGTCAATGTTGTAATTACTTTTATACTCGTCGTTTAAATGGCTTTTTAAGTTATATTTTACTAAAACCGTTTTTTTTTATCAAAATATGTAAGTAGTCTAAGACTAGTTAAACTAGTTGACTGTTGACGGCTTGCATTGATTATGATGTATTAAGCAATTTTGTCCGCCATTTTTTTTTTAATTATTTATAGCAACTTTGCTTTACAATCCGTCAATATATGAACACATACATATATATGTGCACATATTTTATTATGTCTGCATTTGTGTTGACAATGAAAGTAGCGGTCTCTCGGTTAGGAGTTTCTTTAGCCTTTTTATGGTGAAATTATGACAGTAATCAGTTATTAATGACATATGGCTATGACCACTGCCACTGCTTCTATTTACTATACTTGTGATTTTAATTTTATGGTCGATTAAAGTTCATTGCACCCAATTAATTTGTAAATTAAATAATTTATACGTCTTTTTTTCCAATGTCAGCTACTTAATGCTTCAATTTAACTGAATAAATAATATATATATATGTACGAGTATATTTAATTGGCGCTTTATAGCCGCGGAACCGATTTTCGGCGGAGCTCCTCCTCAACTTTGTTGTGTGTGGCTTGATGAGAAGCTTTTATTTTTAAGTTTCGGATGTTGTTCTGGTCAGGCAACAAATCCACTGTGCTAACCACTCGTCTAACGAGTAAGACCTAAACATAAAACTACGGACAACTACTAATTCTTTAGCATCTTCAGGATACAAAAGAAAAAATACATTCAGTTTTCTAGCAATTTTATTTAATGCGTGGAATTAATTTGGATTGCTTCGTGAAATGGTAAATTAATTACAGATGATGCAAAACCTAAACAAAAAAGATCTCGGCTTGTCAGTGGTTCGAAAAACTACAATAATATCCGCTTCGAAGTTGTACTTGTACAAATTAGAATTCGCTAGAGACGTTAAGACAGGCCTGGCTCTATCAGAGAAGCTCGTCTCGAACCTGAACTCTCGAACTCGCTGTACTTATTAGGAAAGAAAATTTTTCCATTGGTCGAGTTATTACTTTGGCTCCCATATAAATTATTTTTTTTAGAGGGAAATCAGCGTTTTGATCTTGGTAAATAGACAAAGAAAAATGTTGTTTATAATAAATTGTTTTCGCCGACTTTGACATCATAGCTACAGATTTTAGATGGTGAGATGCCTCTTAAAGGACAAATGGGTTACCCGCCTTTTAATTTCATGTGTAGCGTATTTATGGCGAGTCAAATCACCACAGAAACCAAGATTTAACTATTCCTGTAATGGATTTATTCAGAAGAGTATACATTAAATCAGCCCGTAAGAATCTTCAGTTCAGAGCTCTCTCAAATTGGATTAGTTGAGAATACGTTTTTACAGCTTTCAAATCAAGCCATTGAATGACTTCATTGTGGTCTCCTGCGTATCCCAACTAAACATTTGCAATAATTTCGCTTAATTTCATGAGATTTTTCAAATTGTTCCACTGGAAGTGGCGTCTCAATAGACTGAAGCTCGGACAGTTACAAGGTTAGTGGCCATAGGGTTTCAGCAATTTTTGTGCTTGCATTGGATTGCACCCTACTGAGCTTGTTGATATGACACCCCATGATACGATAGAAGTGCTCTAAGACCAGGACTATTCATCCATGATCCATTGCTTTAGAAAACATATAAATACGCTGAATAGTATGAGGCAATTTTGTCTACATAAGTACTTTTTGGTTATCTACCAGAAACCTAATCG